AGGCTGCCTAAAATCATAATAAGGCCTCAGACACCCCAAAGCACACCACCGGACATGGACCTGCCCACCAGAAAGACAAGAGCCAGCCTCATCCACCAGAACACAGGCACTAGTCCCCTCCACCAGGAAGCCTACACAGCCCACTGAACCAACCTTAGCCACAGGGGGCAGGCACCAAAAACAACGGGAACTACGAACCTGCAGCCTGCAAAAAGGAGACCCCAAACACAGTAAGATAAGCAAAATGAGAAGACAGAGAAACACACAGCAGGTGAAGGAGCAAGGTAAAAACCCACCAGACCTAACAAATGAAGAGGAAATAGGCAGTCTGCCTGAAAAAGAGTTCAGAGTAATGATAGCAAAGATGATCCAAAATCTTGGAAATAGAATAGAGAAAATGCAAGAGAAATGACGTGCATCGACTGGCAGTAGAATCCAGGTATTTAGGGGTTCTCGCCGCTGTGGTGTTTAAATTGAGGTATGTTTTGAGGTCCATATTGGTAAATCCTATTACTGAGAAACAGTAATAAATAAAGGAGAGGTTTGAAATTGGATTTTTGGAAAAGGACTTGAGGAGGAAAGCCATTATGTGCCCATCCAGTGTAGTGGAGAAACTGCGCACGTAGACTGGGAAACGCCAGCGCACTGTCCCCAGGATGGCAGAGGGGAGCGCTGAGGGGCTGGTGTGAGTCCTCGCCTCTGGGAAGCGGGTTACCAGGGAGTCCCGAAACGGATTGGGAGGACGGAAGTAACAAATAAAATACTCTCTTAGCCAGCAATCTGTGTTGTCTTGAACAGATTTTGCCAGCCAAGAAAAGGCTAAAATTTGCCTGCCCTTAGATTACCGAATGGGGCTATTTACATAATTTATGCACTAAGCATTCCTCCAGTGTTGCTTTTAACATTGTAAATGGGTTTAAGTGGTTTCCAAAGTGACTTCACATCTGATACCAGGGAGAATTCCTGTCTCTGGGGAGGCAACATTGAGAGACCAGCTCCAGAGCATCAGGGCTTCCCTCCCTAAGAGAGAGGATGGGAGGGGTCCCCAGGACAGGGCTTCCAGGTTCTCTGGGGTCAGATACTAGCTCAGGCCTTGAAAGGAGCACATGCAAGTAAGGACCCTGGAGGTGAAGGTCGGGGGCTCCCTTTCTGTGCAGGGATGGATTATAGGGGCTGCAGGGGCCTGTGTGGCCCTAGAACACTTCGTGATCCAGAATACCAGGGTGTGGTCACAGGAACCACATTGGTTTATTTACCTGTGTCCTTTGACTCCCCTCCCCCACTTTTTTTAGGGGTAAACTTTTTTCTCTCCTATATTTCAAATCTACATGACAAAATCTAGAGAAACATATGTTTTCTTCTCTCCTGAGAGATGTCAGTGAAATCTCCTGTTACTTCAGGTATCTGTCCCTTTGAGTTGGGAAGAAAGCTTGCTAAAAACAGACTGGAGGCCTTCACAGAGAAGCCTGCCGCTTTCTGGCTGGCTGACCTGTCAACTGTCTGCCATTCTCCCATTGGAGTCCTGAGATTCCTCATTCTCACGTGGAGAAAAGCCAAACATAACTTGTGAAAAGCAGCATCGTGAAAGACATCAGAGTAGGACGCTGCACCGTTTCCAGGGAGCCTGGGGGGTGCAGGGCTGCCTTGCTAGGTTTGGCTGAGACATCAGGATGGAGAGCCTGGGGCACCTCGGGGGAGAGGGAGAAAGTGACTTGTTTAGTGTCATACAGCTGGTCTTTGGAGGACGTTGAACAAGAATATTGGCCTCTGCTGCGGTTCATTCTTCTGCACCTCACAGCCCTCTCCACGCCAGCTCTACACAGAGCCCGGGGGACAGACCGCCCATAAGGAATGATTTGAAAGGTCTTGCACACTGACATCCAGAAAGATGATGAAGACTGAGGCAAGAGAAAGAGAAATGACACTGGAAGGCAACTTCATTTTCACCCTAAGGCCTCAGCTCATGATAAAAAGACAAACAACCCATTTAAAAAGTGGGCAGGGGATCTGAATAGACATTCCTCCAAAGACAGACAAATGACCAACAAACACATGAAAAGATACTCAACATCATTAGCCATGAGGGAAATGCAAATCAAAACCATAATGCGATACTACTTCACACCCACTAGGATGGATATAATCAGAAAGATGGACAAGAACAAGGGTTAGCGGGGATGGGGAGAATTTAGAACCCTCATGACACTGCTGGTGGGAATGTAAAATGGTGCAGCCGCTTTGGAGAAGTCTAGCAATTCATCAAAGGTTAAACATAGAGTTACCCTATGACCCAGCAATTCCACTCCTAGGGTATGTACCCAAAGGAAATGATAACGTATATCCAGATAAAAACTTGCATATGAATGTTCACAGCAGGGTTATTTGTAATAGCCAAAATGGAAACAACCCAAGTGTCCATCAACTGACACATGTATAAACAAAATGTAGGACACCCATACACTGGAATCGTATTCTACTATAAAAAGGAACGCAATAATGATATTTGTTACAACATGGGTAAAGCTTGAAAACATGATGCTAAGTGAAAGAAGTCAACCATCTGAGATCCTCACCAAGCTCTGCTTTGCTTTTTCCAGTCCTCCGGAGCCTCCCCAAACTGGAATCCATCCCTTGAATCTTCTTTTCCCCATCTCTCTGTGTATTTATTTATTCATCTATTTTTGTCACAGCTTTGTTGAGATAGTCACATACTACTATCGCTTGCCCATTTACTGTGTACAACTCAGTGGTTTTTAGTATATCCAGGAGTTGTGCAGTATTCACCACTATCGATATGAGAACATGTTCATCACCCTAAAAAGAAACCCATACCCGCTAGCAGTCACTCTATTCCTCTGACCCCACCCTCAGCCTTAGGCAACCATCAACTTACTTTCTGTCTCTATGGATTTTCTTTTACTGGACATTTCATATAAATGGAATCAAATAACATACAGTCCTTTGTGACCGGCCTCTTTCACTTACGTAAGTTGTCAGGGTTCATTCAGGCTGTAGCGTGTGTCTGTTTTTATTGCTAAATAATATCGTATGGATATATCATATTTTGTTTATCAGTTGATGAACCTTTGCCTAATCCTAGATCATGAACTTTACTCTTCCGTTTTCTTCTAAGTGTTCTATAGTTTTGGCTCTTACATTTAGGTTTTTGATCTGTTTTGAGTTAATTTTTGTATATGTTGTGAGGTAGTGGTCCAAATTCATTGTTTTGCATGTTGCCCCAGAAGTTGAAGTCCTCCAAATTTGTTCTCTTCAAGGTTATTTTGGGTCCCTTGTATTTCTATATGAAATTTAGGATCAGATAATTTCTGCAAAGAAGCCTTTGGGGTTTTGATAAGAATTGTGTTGAATTTTAAATCAATTTGGGAAGTATTGCTAACATAACAGTATTAAATCTTCTAATCTGTGAACATGAGATGTCTTTCTGTTCATTCTCAGAATCCTGAAACTGTCTAGGGCCGTGTACCCATGGAACTCTGTGGGTTTGTATGTTGCCCACTCCTGGAAATTCAGCCACCACCTTTTACCCTGTAAGGTCTCTTGCCTCTATTCCCCCATAGGCCTTTTGCCATATTTTGCTCCCCTGACTTGGCTTCCTTCCACTGCCAACAGCTGAGTCTGCCCCAGTTCATGGGGGCATCTAGTTGTCAGGTCACAAATCAAACTAGTCTGGATCACCTGCTGTCTACCAATCTCATAGCTCACATTCTCCTCCTTGAAGAAGCAGGCAAGGTGAAGATTCTTGGTTATGAGGAGAATTTTCCATCTGTATTATTTCCTTGTTGTGCAGCTAGAGTTGGGAAATAGAAACAGAAGATCAAACACACACACACACACACACACACACACACACACACACACACACACA